ATGATTCTCTCTCATCATGGATGTTTCTATCTCTCTCTTTTTTCGGCTCTGAAATCAATTAAAATATATATATTTAAAAAAAAGATGATGGAAGTATTATTAATTTTACCAATCGGCACATTGTCATTTTCAGATCAGATTTGAGATAATCCATCAAACCACTATATTTTTCAACTTAGATTGGTTTACTTTGATGAAATTTATCCAATTGGCCTCCATTTTTTAAAACAAATCCATGATAAACTGTTGAGTTGATTTTCCTGCATTTAAAATAGGATTGAACATGGCCCACACAGAGAGATGAAATCCATAATACTGCATTTGTGTGACTCATGTCCTTACATTTTGCCTAGTATTATTGTCGATTACACTGTTGTCTCTGAGTCTTAATACAATACCTGTTCCCCAGCCTTTTTCACCATGTGGAAAAAGAATAGGATATTTCATTGCATCTAATGTAGGAAACAGGATATTGATTTGTTTCATTTTAGTTGCATTTGGATTATTGGGATCTGGTTTACAATGAATGAGCAAGTCCCTTTCAAAAGGAGGTTCTCCATCTTCGTTTCTGAATATGACAGCAACCTCGGTTACACGGGGAGAATTATATCTACCCGGGTCACTGTTACGATCGTATTTAATTGCCGTTGTTACTTCTGTGGGAGCAATACCTTTTGCTGCTGCTTCAGGTTGGACTTCCTTTTCTACCTCATGTAGCATTTTGTTCGATTTTGTTAATTCATTTATGTCATGCATGAGTTTGTTGATGTTGATCATGAGTCTTTCTGAGCAGCCCTGGTTTTCTGGCATTGCTAACCTCTAAAATATAGAGTTGAGCAAACTTCCGAGAAATGCCATCCGAAGGATGAAAAGTTCCAGTACGGTGATAAACTTGTCCGTGTATTCTAAAACAGTATGGCCCATATCCTGATGGCGATGCAATATTTGCAACCATGGAAGCAAAAGCAAAAGAACTATTTATGGAACGAATATTTTTCATGAAATTTTTACTGTCAGAATCTTCGTTTGTCATTAATCTTTTTAAATATGCTGGATAATCTGAAAAATGTATATCATTTGGGAAGACTTTCCCTTTGCTACAACATCGAGTAAATTTCCTATCGGATGGTTTTTCATCCAAGAAATTTAGGGATAGGCAAAATTCACATCGAGCAGTCATTCCACCACAACTATGTTCGAGGATTGCATCCTCATGTACTCCATTTTCACCGAGAAGGCAGTTCCTATTGGTATTGGTAGTACTTGTTGGTGACTGTTCTCTAGACATATTCTGTCGTTGCCACCGCCTTCTTTCAACTTCAAAGGCACGTTGGTCTTTAGACATTTTCTGTCGATGACTCCAGCATCTTTCGGCTGCAGGGCTACATTGTATCAACAGTTGTGCTTTAGACATAGTCCCACCTCTCTACTGTCACGTTCTGAGATGCAGTGAATGAGAGTCCTGGCTGTCAGGCCACTGAGAGCTGTCTGACTAAAGGCTGATTCTGGCTGATTCTGTTGGGGGTGGGACTGGAAAAGGTCCTGGGAGCCCGTGGCTGCAGGCACCCTCACCTCCTGGGGCGCCTGACACCTGCGTATGTAAATTAAGCACCATCTTTGTTGGGTTAATTTGCATAGTCACTCTGATCGGCTGGTGGGCATGGCTTGTGGGTGTGGCTTGTTTGTAGCGGAGGGACAGCTAATTTGCATGTTTCTCTTTTATTATATGGGATTTTTAGAATGTGTTGCTAGTATCCTAGCAAATTTCAAAGGGAATCAGTGAGGCTTTTGCTGTTAAGTATCATTATGAATCTATCATCATAGATTTTTATATAGTTACCAGAGGCCCGGTGCAGGACATTTGTGCGCTGGGGGTGGGGGGAGGGGCGGATCCCTCAGCCTGGCCTGTGCCCTCTCACAGTCCGGGAGCCCTTGGGGGATGTCCAGCTGCCATGCTGGGGGGAGAGTCTCCCACCACCGCCACGTGCTGTGCTTGCCAGTGAGCCCGGCTCAGGGCTTCTGGCTGAGCAGAGCTCCCCCTGTGGGAGCGCACTGACCACCAGAGGGCAGCTCCTGCATTGAGCGTCTGACCCCTGGTGGTCAGTGCGCATCATTGCGACTGGTCGTTCCGACATTCGGTTTATTTGCATATTAGCCTTTTATTATATGGGATGTGTTTCAACCCATTGCAGTCTTTATTTCTTTATATATATGTTTTTATTGATTTTAGAAAGAGAAGAAGGAAGAGAGAGAGAGAATGAGAAACATAGATGAGAGAAACATAGATTGGCTGCCTCCTACATACCTCTAGTGGGGATCAAGCCCATAATCTGGGCATGTGCCCTGACCAGGAATCAAACTGTTAACCTCTTCTTGCATGGGATGATAACATATTGATACCTCTAGGAAAGAAATGCTACATTGTTCACTATGGAGTTAATGAGATATCCTCCTTTCTATATAATAAAAGGATAATGTGCAAATTGACCAAACGGCAGAACGACTGGTCACTGTGACGCGCACCGACCACCAGGGGGCAGACGCTTAATGCAGGAGCTGTCCTCTGGTGAGAAACCAGGCTCATGGCTGGTGAGCACAGCTGCGGCAGCACTAAGGATGTCCGACCTCTAGCTTAGGACATCCCCCTAAGTCGTCAGTAGGACATCCCCCGAGGGCTTCTGGACTGTGAGAGGGCGCAGGCTGGGCTGAGGAACCCCTCTCTCCCCAAGTGCATGAATCTTGTGCACCAGGCCTCTAGTATTAGTATAATAGCAAATACTTAGGAAACTTTTGTCAGCTATGGGCATTCCCAGTGACTCCATGCTTTTATTGTATATAACTAAATTGTACTTTTAGAATTTTCTCTACCCCCACAGCCCATGGTATATGAGTGGGCTGATGTGCACACATGGCATTCACACACACAAACCTCTTACAGTCATTTATTCTTAATTACTTTACTCTGATTTCCTTTTTTTATTCCAATTCTAGGTTTTTTGAGTTTTTTTAGTACTATTTCATCAACGAAAGTAGTGAGCAAAGAGTGTTGAATTCATCTTGCTTTGAATTAACAATGGCCTCTTTCTAAAAAGCAAATTAGAAGAAAAAAATGGAAAATTAATTCTATTTTAATCTAGTAAATTGCATGCATTAAAAAAAGATGGGTTTGCAAATACCTGTTCCTTTTACCATACAGCTCACTTCTTCATATGTAAATGAGATAATTTTTTAATGATAATTGCGTAATGTCAACCATTATGTAAATGCTTATCGTGAGTCAGACACTTCTATATAAACTCTTGTAAGTCTCAGAAACTGTCCAGTGAGGTAAATACTATCGTAATCCCCTTTTATAGATGAGGAAATTGAGGCAGAAAATGGTTGAGTAACTTAACCAAGTTTACACAACAAGTGGATGGAGTCAGGATGTTAACCTGTGTTCTCATTCCAGAGTTCAGTGCAGTTCTTTGCTATGCTGCTATACTGCAGAAGGAAAACATACAGTCAGCCCAGCACAGGAATAAGAAATAACAAGTACTTATAGGAGAATTTTGAGATAACCTCAGAATTTTAAAGAAAATTACTTGGAGAGAAAAGCTGTAGGTTTTGATACTTTTTTTACATTTTTCTTAACTGAAAATGGTGGCAAATAAAATATTATCATTGTATGTTGCCTTTCATTACTGGCTTTGTGTATTCACGATTCCTTAGTTCATAAGGATGTTGCTCTGAAATCTTTTTTTTTTTTTTAATTTCATTTAGATGTATTACATCTGAATTTCGGCCTGGAATAGGTTGCTATCAAAAGTTAGCATTACTCTCAGGATACAATGTTATTTGTTACCAAAACAGTATTATCTTGCATTTACATGGTACATCACAGTTTTTCAGACTACTTTAAAGGGCACTATCATTTAGATCAGACAAACAGTACAAGTGGTACTGGCTTCATTTTATGGATAAAAGAAACTGAGTCTCATAGGTCATAGCAGTAGTGAGAGAGCTGACACTGGAACCCAGACTTAACTTGTTAGTTCCTTGTTTTTTCTCTCTACTCAGTACCTTCAGATAATAATTCAATCAATAGTACATTCATTGGAACCGGAATGTAAGAAAAGGGACAAAGTATTGCAGGAGGGTGTTAAAATATGTTTATTAATAGATTTTTAAAGAGCAGCCACTTTGCGTTCTTTTATAAGTGACAAGTTGAATAAATTACAGGTCCTGCTGTTGTCAGTCATCACCTTGCTCGAGTCCTGCTGTTGTGGAAGTGTGTCTTTCCAGTGTCTCCTAAGGACCTAGAAACAGAAAAGAGCCGAGGAGATTCCTTTACATGGCAGGTAACCTTAGAAGGACGAGCTGGTGCACTCTGTGGTAGGTTGAGTTTAGTCTTTTTGCTCCCTTTCTTTGGCTTTTCCCCACTCCTTAACTTTACACACACTTGTATATTTTTCTTAATTTTAGAGGGAAATAACATTTTTCTGGTGTGGTTTTTTTTGAGGGGGAGGGGTGGTAATCGAATATAATTGATTACTAGTATATCCAGTTAGTGATTATAACAGAAGTAGATGTAATAAACCAAATTTAAGAGTTCTGGTCCTTAGGATAACACATGTTTTATTAGATGCACTCCAGTTGAGAAATGTCAAGATTGCTTTTCCTTCAGTAGGCATTCATTCCTTTTTTCAGAAACACGAGGGTTGGATTTAATTAGTGTTAATTAAGCATGTTTCCATTTAGTTTTTTTATATATAAAGTTGTACCTTTTATAATATATAGGCCATTAAAATAGTATTCACTATGAAAACTTAAACTAAGGAAGGGTGGGATCCCTGAAAAGAAATGAGAGCACTGATTTTGGTTTTGTTTGTTTATTCTTGGTGTTTTTTTACTCTTAAAAATGGAAAACCAATTTTGAAATTAATCTTGAAACTCAGCCTAACTTTAAAATATTTATTTTATTCTATATATGAAATTAACTCCTTATAAAACATGTGTTTCAGGTAACATTTACAAAAACCTAACATGCTGACTCCAAAGTAGCATTGTCCTACAGAATTAGTATAGAACTGGCAAACTTTAGGGACTTCACTAATTTATTCTTCTACTTCTGAGATCTGAGTAAAACCCAGGAAAGAAACATTTTGTTAACTTGGTTAGAGGCCTCTGTTATTAATTTGAGGAAGCTTGATTTTAGTTTGGTTAGAAATAGAAGACATTAGCTTTCTTTTTATACTAGAGTTTCAAGAATTTTTGTTTGTTTTTAACACATTTATTTATTCCTCTAATAAAAATGCAAACACTATAGCATAATTGAATGCTTTTTTCATAGTTCATTACATTCTGCCAAGTGAAAGTCTGTTCTGCCTTTCAGCTATCAAGAGCTTTGTTTCCCACTGTGGCGATCTCCTTACAGAGGAAGTAATTCAGCGTCTTCTTCCACCACTTCCTTGTGCTGTGGATTTGCTAACCCGGTAAGGATCTGCTGGTTAGATATGATTTTTAAAAAATTTAATAGCAGTCAGTTACCCTCTGATTATGTAATACCTTTTAAGTGCAATAATAAGGCCAGTTTCTATGATCGGCGAATGATTTTCCTTTTGCAGAGGAAGGCAAATATTTAGTTATGTGATTATTATGTAATACCTTTTAAGTGCAATAATAAGGCCAGTTTCTATGATCGGCGAATGATTTTCCTTTTGCAGAGGAAGGCAAATATTTAGTTATGTGATTGTTTCTTATTAGTCTAGGGTAGTGGTCGGCAAACTCATTAGTTAACAGAGCCAAATATCAATAGTACAACGGTTGAAATTTCTTTTGAGAGCCAAATTTTTTAAACTCAAACGATATAGGTAGGTACATTGTTATTAACTTAATTAGGGTACTCCTAAGGCTTAGGAAGAGCCACACTCAAGGGGCCAAAGAGCCACATGTGGCTCGTGAGCCGCAGTTTGCCGACCACAGGGTTAGGGTCTTGAAAAAAATAAATATATTAAAAAGGAAGGAAAATTTCTTGTTGGATAGTGTATTTCTATACAGTTAGATTTACCCAAAAAATTAAATATGAAGCCTGTTAACCTTTTCAGGTATGCATTTTATTGGTTAGTACTTTTCTGTGTTTATAAGAACCAGGTGCTTGTTAACAGCTTCAGTGTTTTTTGTTTATATTTTTCATATGTCTGACTTATAATAAAACATAGAGAAAACCTAGTTTATGTCACAAGCATCTGTAATTTCCAAATTAATGAAATGTGTAGTTTAGAGAAAGTCTTTCAAATGTACTTAATGATATAATCTTATATGTATACAGAAAAATATATTTAAGATGTGGTTTATAAAGCACTAGGGGCCCAGTGCATGAAATTCATGCAAGAGTAGACCTTCCTTCCTCCAGCTGCCGGCACCGGCTTCCCTCTGGCACCCGGGACCCAGGCTTCCCTTGCAGCCCCGGCTTTTTCCAGAAGGTCGTCCAGAAGGACGTCTGGTCTAATTAGCATATTATGCTTTTATTATTATAGATAATAAAATGAACACCATGAATTCACTTCTAGAGCGGGGTTAGCAAATGTGTGGTGTAAGGGCCAGATAGTCTCTATTATACCTAATCAGCTCTGTTGTTTCAGCTCAAAAGCACACATAGATAATCTGTAAATTAATCAATGTGGCTATGTTTCAATAAAACTTTACAGAAACAGGTAGTGGGTCAGATTCAGCTATCCCTGAACTCTGGAACATTAACAATACTGTTGAAGTTATCTGTGTGCTCCACTCTACTACCATTTTTTATGCCTTCCTTTAAAGATACCCACTATCATGAATTTTATAGATGTCATTCCCTGCATTTTTAAAAAATGTATCACGTGTATTTTTCCCTAAACAGCACATGGTTTAATTTTGCTTGGATTTGGGTTCAGCACGTGGCATGCTTTTTCTGA